TTGCCACGTCACAGGGTCCTTGAATTCAAGTACTACTATTTACGTTAAAATATATGGTAAGTTACAGAAAATGTTTCTTTTTTTTATCATGGAAGTGAAACCGATTTCGTTGAACAATTTTTGACAGAACCATACATCAATTTATCGTCCAACAATAAAAAAGTTATCAGGAAACCAGGCAATAATCTTCCAGTCACTTTTGTAGCTCACATCGATGCACACCCTCCTCCAACACTCACATGGTAAGGTGTTCAACTATATAAACAAATTGATGACAGCCACTGGTAATAAATCGTGGTGTTAATGTGAAACTTTAAAGGTTGGCGCCCAATGGCCAGGAAATCAAAAAAATAATGACAGATCGCTTCTCAGTGTCAAGTGATGAAACAACAAGTAATCTAACGATTGAAGATATCGATATGAAATATTGGGGTGATTTTACTCTTCGAGCTAATAATAGCGCTGGAATAAAGTACTTGCATTTTACTCTCGAAATTCACAGTACGCATAATACAATGCACAAATTAGTCTTACTAAATATTGCGTTATTTATTTATTTTTTTTTAGTACTATCTTCTCATAGTTAATTTATGTATTTGCTTTCACAGGCAGACCAATGATTCATAAAATATCAGCCTCAAAAAAATATTACGACATTGATGATGACGCCATTTTTTTTCTTCATGCTTTTGGATATCCCAAGCCTTATGCATTATGTACCTACACGAGTTGCCGAACAACTGAATTTAACTATGGCTGCAACAAGTCTATGTTAAAGGTTAGTTATGAATTGTATGCAAGTCTATTGGCACCACCTGATTCCATAATAGTAAAAACTTGTAGGATTCTTGTGGGCTTATTTACTCATTGCTGGTGTCAAATCGCGCGAGTTTACTAACTAGAGATGCTAAACGTGAAATCGACGTGAATCACAATAATTTCAAATATCATAGCTATTCATAGTACTAAACGTAAAAGCAAAAGAGTGACAACGGGATTTGTTGGTAGTGACGAAACGAAGATGACACCAAAGTCAGTAACGCATAAACTTGATTTTTCATTTTTATTTTTCTTTACAGCTATTCTCATGAACTTTGCGTATAACGGCTCTACGTTGCTGTGTTATTCTGCATGTATCTATATTATGTATATTATCGTCATTGGCATAATAAAAAACTGCCTCAGATTTATTGTGAATGAAACACTTCCAGAACAATAGGAACATGTTATTACTACTGTTAATAATTTCATTAACTGTCAGTAACCTGTTGGATAATAAAATTTAATTTTTTATTATTTATGAAACTATTAAGCATGCACCTACTGTTATCCTCGTTGTTTTTATCACGCTTGATAACGCAAAGTAGTTAAAAAACTGAACTTTGTACAGTCAATAACGTATCAAGTCTCAAAAGTCCTACAAGCTTGCACTTTTCCCTCATCGTGGGCTCTATTGTTGCTTTTCTTTACCCCCTGCAATGACTTGCACACATCAAATACCAATAAACAACGGTAATATATTTGTATCGATAAATTCCAACACTAAATATATACGGGGAAGAAAATACCCAAGACCTTAACGATTCTTTTACCAATTAAGTTTACAGAAATAGATACGCCTCAGCCAATAAGTTATTCAATAAAAATAACACTGAAAAATCTGAAAATGTTTGGCAAAATAAATTTCAATGTTTGCAATATTTATGACTGTAGCTCTAGAAGTCATACTGTTCTCGTTACGGGTATTTACGCCTTTACTATTATTTTATACTAATTTTTTTATCAAACATTGATTTCCGATCTTAATTCTTTTTTTATTTTTTAATTCACCGTTCAATGAAGATGGAGCACCAAATACCGATATTGGGATTGAAAAACTCAAGAGAAAACTATACGTAGGTGACAACGTCAAATTAATCTGTACTGCTGTTAATTACAAGTATTTTTCGATTAAATGGAACGTAAATGAAGTACCAGGTAATCTCCTCAATACATGAAAACATTTAACCACGCAGTTCGTCTGTACACTAACCTTACGATTTGTTAAATTGGTTTTAGGTAAAGTAAGCATCACTTTAGAAAAAACTAATTTTACCTATCGAAGTATTCTCTTAATTAGTAACGTGCAGGAATCAGATCAACAAGAATATACTTGCACAGCACGATTAGCAGGAGGTAATAGCCAGTCTGCACAATACCTCCTTCTACTTAATGGTAATAACGTATTATTAATTTAAGTACAAAGTAGATGACTTATTTTTATTTGCAATACATTTTACTCTATTTATTAGATCCAGTGAAACCTAGCTTTATTAGAACAAATTTGAATAACACTGAAGTAATTTTGTCGGTGGAAGATACTAAAAACAGTATTCGTTTATGGTGTTATGCTAATGGCAAGCCGAAACCTCATATTAAGTGGTACAAGGATGGTGTACCGTTAGAGCTATCACAAAACTTTGTTTTTATGGATGATAACCAAAAATTAATAATACGATACTTTTTGGAAGGTGATAACGGAAATTATTCGTGTCAAGCTGAGAATCGCTTTGGATCCGCACGAAAATTTCAAAAGCTTGCTATGACAAGTATGTAAATTACAATTTTTACTATTGCACGTTACTTCTAGTCAAAGGTCCTTAAATATACATAATACACTGTATGATAAGTCATTAGTAATGAGAGTTAAAAAGCTAATTTTAATTACAGAGGCAGGAGCTGCTTTGCACCAAATTGCAATAATTAGTTGGTTGATTATTATTTCCATAATTTTTATGATGCTCATTTGTATTAAAGAACTACATGGAAAGGTGAATTTCAAAACAAATATTTTAAACTTAAATTCAAACACAATTTAAATTTTCTATANTTGAAAAAAAAAAAAAAAACTAAACTTTAACGCTCAAGACGCAATTTCTATATTTTAGGCCAGAGTAAAAAGTTTCATTACAAGATATATGGCTAATATTTTTTTTTCAATTCATTCTCATTTCCTTGATTATGCATTTGTAACTGTTTATTGTTGTTTTTCAAAGTTTTTCCTTTTAGAGAATAAAAAAAAACACAACAATTACATAGAGTGATTGAAGGGACTGAAAAGATTCTATAGTATTTAAACAAATTTAAATATGAATTAACTAAATTGTAAATATTTAATCCAAAAAAATCGATACAAACTACTGTGTACTTATACATAAAATTTATGTACATTTAAGAAAGTATCATTGAAAAGTAAATTTAGTAAAATTTGTATACCGAAAAGTATTTAATCGAATAAAAATAGTAAATTTATTTAATAATACCAAGTGGGAGCAATTATTTGTTCAGCTATTATTTACAACTACACCTGTTGCTTGTTTATTGCGTTTAAAAAAATATTTATATGAAAATATTGAAAAAATATTATTTGTACTGTTGTTTTGTACGAACATACAACTCCTGCATAACCCATACCCCATCTTGATATCTAAAAAAGAACAAAGTGGTTGAGATTTCAGCAAATTTTTTTAAAAATTTCAATACAGATAACTTATCTACGTATGAAACCAATTGAAAATACTCTTTCCACCCAAAAAAGAACCTATCACTACTATAGAAGAATTTCGTTTTCGTTATATACCCACAAGCTCTTTAACCAAACCGTTCAATTTAGGCCTTTTTGGGGCTAAAAAGTATCCTCAAATCAGCTCTATGTCCTCTCTGAGCAGCCACTCCACACATTTGATAATAAGTACGACACACAAGCTCTAATGGGGCTGGCAACATGCATTTACAGCCTAGAGACAAATATACACGAGAGCTGCTGCTGCTGCTGTACTGGCAACCGGCCAAAAAATTCGCACAGAGGTATAGACGCAAGTAATGTTCCGGCGCACGCACACGCGCGTGTTTTTGAGAGGAGCAGCCTCTCTGGGGATTCCGCCGATGTGCTAGTAGTAGGCGCCGAGACACACCGGACATCGTCGCTTTCCTAATGTGACCTCTGTTTGTGGGGTTTTTAAATAGTGACCAACGGGAAAGACCATTTTTGTGATTTTCGTGTGACATGGTGATGTTTTCTCGTCAAGCAAAACACTGTGTTTAATGATGACTGCGTATCGGTGCAGTGCGTGTGTCTTCACCGTAAGAAACAAAAGTGTTATTGCAATGGATTACACTTTTGGTAGATCTCAGTATAGGTAGTGATAAGACAACGATAGGCATTTTTCTCTCGTAAAATAGGAAGATAATCGTACGGTCACTACATATTATAGAAATACCCCCTGTAAAAAAAAGCATCAGCAAAAATGATATGCAAAAAAAAGCATCATCGATCTCTGATTGACTTATACGCCTGGAGAAATCAATTTTTCTCGAAGAAATAAAAGTTGCACGAGCGTAGCGCATCTCAAGAGTGGACAAATTAGCGTCAATTCGCCCAAAAGACAGTGCAGGTGTGCCCGCAATTTTATAAACTTCGCTCTAAACTTGGACAACTTCCACGACACGCCGTGCGTGTACACTATTATACAAAGTAGTGGTAAAGCTCCGGCCTATATACTCTTTTAGTGTGAAAAAGCTCTCGAGCGCGTCCGTGAGTGTACATCATATATACGTATAGGCTACAAATCGACACGAAAAAAAAAAAAGAATCCACGTAGATGGACGGGCGGAGGAGAGGAAGACGCCCCGGGTAAATTTAATCGGCCGATCGTCTCTTTCTGATCCGCATTTGGGTTAGCGACCGATCCGCCACGCGCACACGCGCCCGACTATCGTCTTTCCTCCGTACCTCTTGGTCTTCATCTACGCGTTGGCTCGTTCGTTCGACAGAGGAGGAGAGAGCTCGCTTATAATTACGTAAGAAAAAGAGAGGGACGGATCCCCCCAGACGCACGAACCAAACCACCACCGCCGTGGCCGCCGTCGTCCCGCTTTTCACGACTCGCGGCGGGCCACGGGAAAATTGGGTCGAGGTGCCCGACACCTTCAAACGAACGAGTCTCTTCTTCTTCTTTTTTTTTTTTTTTTTTTAGTATGTGCTTTCGACAAACTGTGCCCTTTGGTTATTATTTAGTGCATCTTTTTGTTTGTTTGTTTATTTGTTCACCGCAGCAAACCAAATAGTTCAAAAAGTGTCCCTGCGTGTCATACCGATTTTCAAGGGCTGTGGCGATACCTGCGCCGATTTCTTCCCTCCAGCGCCCGAGTGGAGAAAAAACTGAACTATGAAAAGCGCCCAAGATTGTGGATTGAAATCAGCCAAACTCGCGCCAGCCACCCAACGATTTTTGTAAAAAGTTTCACGGGAGACGAAAAAAAAATACAATTGGTTCCCATGGAAGCTAGGTAGCGAAAAAGCCATCAGGACTCAAGGGTAATGAACAAGATGCACCACTTGTACCCGACCTCGACGGGCGACCCACTGTGTCCCCTGGGTTTTCATCCTCAAACAAAATGGCCTACCAGATGCAAAAGATGCTACAGGTAAGCTACAGTGCCGATGAAAAGTCGACGAGTAGGTGGAGCGGTCGCGCTGACAGGTTGTTTTGAGCTTGAAAAGTGAGCGAGGAAAATTATGTGGGTGCGAGAAAAGTCTCGTTGTTTGGGTTTACCGGGCATCGATATGCGTTCGCGTCTACTGCTCGTGTTTTTGAGGGTTTGTTTCGGTTATTTTTAGGTCACGTGGCTGTGTACGAGCTGGGAAAGGAAATCTGCAGATGTGTGTTGTATGATAAAAGTATTTTCGATTTTGGGTGAACGAGGAGCGAAGAAGGTATTGTGTGTATTTATACATGTGGACTACAGTTGGCAGTGCGGCTGATGCCAACGGATTGAATGAATTGCGTCAATGTACGATGTTGTTTATTGCCTACGATCGGCGATGAAGTGAAACTAAAATTAAATTAAACTTTGGGATTGATGGGGAATCTCGCACGTTTGCTTCTGCCGCGGTGACGTTTGTTATAAATAGCAGGCGGATTGACAAGAAAAGCACGAATGGGTGAATTTTTGCAAAAAAAAAAAAAAACTAAACTTTAACGCTCAAGACGCAATTTCTATATTTTAGGCCAGAGTAAAAAGTTTCATTACAAGATATATGGCTAATATTTTTTTTTCAATTCATTCTCATTTCCTTGATTATGCATTTGTAACTGTTTATTGTTGTTTTTCAAAGTTTTTCCTTTTAGAGAATAAAAAAAAACACAACAATTACATAGAGTTACACTTAAAAAAAAAATGGCCAAAAATGAATCATATAAAATATGGTTTTAATGAATAAAAATGGTATATAACTTCTTCTAACTGGACTTGAACCTATAATTACAACAGTTTAAATTTATTACGTACAATCAGATTTTTTACTCTGGCAAAAACATAAGCTATGGAGAGCAAAGTTGCGCCTGAAAATTTTGTTCACTAACACAAAGCAAAGTATTATACGCAAGTTCAAAGTTAGAGTCTTATTTCTGGATTCACGGAAAGAAAAAAGAAACAAACGCACTTGACGCGTTTCGCGTGACGTCCGTCGCCTTATAACTATAGTTATATATACCAAAAAATACTTCACCGTATGAAGGTTGTTGTCATTTTTTCACATGAAAAAAAAAAACTCTAAGAAATATGGATTTAACAAAACCTCTCGACTTTTACATTGATAGTTAATCAACGCAACACTAAACGTATCTCCGTAAAAAAAAAAACAAAAAAAAAAAACAGATTTGTTAAAAAAATCGCACCCATGCGCCGCATAACAACGCGGAAATATCGTTATTTTCGGACTCGGCCGAGAAAATTGAATACGAGAGGAAAGGGGCCTTTTAAAATTGTCGTAGAAATAAGAACAACGACAGAGACGGAGAAACATGATGAGAGCTTGGACTTAATTAAGGCCACATGGAAAAATCGCGCTCACTGCCAGAACCTGGACTTGCCGTGGCCAGCCATTATGGCCCCAAGTTCAAGGCCGGCTGCTGAAGTTTGCGAGCTTTTCTCTCTTTAGCTTCCTCTCCTTTGGCCTCTTTTTTTTTTGGGGGGGGGGGTCTTTAATTAGTTGAAGCTTCGCTTCCTACGACCACACCACTGAGACAGATCGATCGAATCTTTGTTCGATACTCATTGCTCTACCGATATACTTGTCTTTCAATAGAGACTACAAGGACCACAACCAGGGAGCTGTCAAAAAGACCACGAAGGACACGACCTCCTCGTCGCCGAGCCTATCGGTATGGGAGCCGATGATTCCAGCGCGCCGGTAACGATATGCTTTCCGCTCTGTCCGAAAAAACAAAATCTCAAAGAAAGAGAAAAAAAAACTCCCGATTCTCCACCCCCACAGTCTGTCGAACGGCTCGGAAAATCGGCGGAGCTGGTCGTCGACCTCGAACCTCGTGAAAGACGAGCAAAATTCAACGGGCAGCTGGAACTCAGCGGCGGACCTATCGAGCGCGAGCCTGAGCGATCTACGGCCGATTGTGACCAACGAGCCCGAGGTCACGGTCACGGTCAGACCACCAAGGCCGAAGACCTACGCGGGCTCGTCGTCCGATAGCTACAACTTCCGGCGCTTCAGTGTCGATGAGAGCTTCAGTGATCGCAGGTACCCCATGCCCACGAAGACGGAAGGGCAGTCGACGGTCCAGCCGCAGAAGCTGCAGATCAAGGGCGTGATTGATAAGAGCAACGGGGCGAGCTCGGACAACGATGCCGAGTTCATTATACAGGTGATATTGGACATGTGGGAATTTTGCTTCTACTTGTTTTTGGTTTTTTTTTTTTTTTTTCTAATGTTCCTGTACCCATGTGGTTAGAAAGTTTATATGTGTATGAAGGCTTTTTTCGTATACAAGAGAGAGAGAGAGAGAGAGAGAGAGTAAAGTTGGTGAGGAATCGACAGTACAGTTTATCATGAAAAATCGACGGCCTTACTCTCTCCCTAGCGTGTGTATAGTTTATTCCTGACTGAATGACTTGTGATCCTATTACAATTCATTACGTGTTTGTGTTTGTGAAATGTACAATTTTGTTCGCTGCTTTGAAAAATTGATAGAACCAATGAACGATCTTTTTCATGAAGTTTTAAAAATCATTTCACATCGATTGTACGATCTATATCAAACACAAACAATGATCATTCATGTTAAAAAAATGCATTGTTAAAGTACTTTGTAATGTCTTCAAGACATATACTATCAAAGCAGGCGGTAAAAAATCTTCTTATCAAATCGGTTGTAACTTTGTAGATGTTTCGATACCCGAAAATATACATATTGCAAAAGTATCGGCTTTTTGGAGAAACAATTTTTTTTTAATGTTTTTGGAGCCTACTTCATAAAAATAATCGGTACTACTCCAAACGATAACTTTTTTTTTTTTTTTGTATATTTTAGGATTTATTTACCATTTTTAATTAATAATTAAGAAAAATCAATTGGTGAAAAAAGCATCATCATAATAAAAATTCAGAAACGAAGATACGTCGATTAAAATAAATACATAAAAGATGGTGTATCAGTGATGAGCATAAACGAGCGTATATGCTCATTACTATACAGTTAAGAAAACTGTAAGAGTAGGCACTTTACGAGAGCTTACATCTTGAGAAAATCTAAAACATCTGTAAAATTATGGTTAACTGAAATATACCAGTATTTTTCACTGATGTTTTGACAATAAATGTCTGTATTGTTGTAAAAAACTAATTTTTATGAAGCTCATCTGTGATATGTCATAAGTAAATAATTTTAATTCTTTGAAAATAATAAATCAAAAATCTCATATCAAAATAATAACAAAATTATGACAAGATAAACAAGGTATCGCAACAAATAATGAGCTTTAATTGTTGTTGCAAGTCTATATATTATATGTTTTCATGGATTAATTTTCTATCCATTACTATCATTTCTTAAAAAGAGAAGGCAAAATTCTGTTTATTAACCTCATTAATCTTTTCTATTTTCCTATTTTGTCTCTCTCCCGTTCTATAATCGATCGAAGGTAAGGAAATCGCGAATCGCCGAGCGAAATGGACCTAAAACCGAATCGTCCACTAAAGTGACGGAAAAGCCCGAAAAAGTAATTTTGACTTTATTGACTGGAATGAACAATTCGTTTTCTGTTATCAACGAAGGATGTCACAGTCTATCGTAGTGTAATCGAAAAATGTCTCATCACAAATAATCGTATCAATAGATAACTTATAAATTTGCAAAGTAGTTTCTTAAATACTTTATAAAACTAGGTAAAATTAATGAAACCATTCGAGACATCGTTCGTTACTTTAGTCGCATGTAGATGGTTTGCGTAGTCCAGCCTTATACCTCATGCAACATTCCATCAACAAAAACAGTAAATAAACTGTAGTGAACCCTTTTCACCTTGGTCGATCCGTTAAAATTTATCGTACACCTCTTAAACCGGTTTTATTTTACTCGTAATAAAAATTTTTACAACAATCAAATAATTTTAAACTTTTTCAAAGATTAATTTTAGTATAAAAAATTATAATAAAATTTTTTTATGAAGTATTTACTGTGTGTTTGTTTATATTTTTTTAAAATAATTTGTGCAAAGTTATGCAAAAAATACGTAGATTATTATACACGTGAACAATTTAATATGTTTAAAACATGTACACAAAATTACGTAAATTAATATTGTCCATCAATAAAAATAAAAGTAAAAATAGAAATAAAAAATAACAGTAAAAAAGAGATACTTTTTTAATTTGTAAAAATTAACTTTGGTCTTTTGTAGATTTTCCGTGCAGGAACTAGTTCGATATTAAAAAACATGTATAGCGAAAACCGTCAAGTCAAATCGTGACCCACAGATAAAATTTATACGCAATTTACAAAAAAGGTATTTGTTGAATAACTTATAAACGCTTATGCGAGCAGTGTCTATATAGAACACATGCTCATACATATTTACGTATATATCGATGCGTTGACGAAAAAAGGCACCACCTCGATTTGTAGAAGAAAAAATTTAATATCTCTGTAACTAGTACTCTCGATCAAATTTATATCTAAGTTTCGAAAAACCATGGATTGTCGATGATCACCGAAAATTCAGGCAATGGCAAGAAAAAAAAAAAAAAAAAAAAAAAAAAAAAAAAAACACAACCACCAAATTCACCTCAATAACTTCTACGCGACGGTACCTTTTTCTCTATACCGAGGCATCGATATTACGCACACACCGACCGCCACGCAGTTTCATTTAGCTTGCAAATCGCGATTGTGACATCCTCGCGATCATAAAAATAAGAGCCCTAAAAAAAGACTAACCGGGGCCCGGCCTCCTCCTCCTCCTCCTCTCTGTACGACAGCAGCGTCGCGACCAAGAGGTCGAGAAACTCAGGACGCAGCTGAGCGACATGAGGGCGCGGTGCGATCGCGTCGAGAAGGAGAAGGCCGAGATACTGCTGCGCAAGCTCTCCACGATGGACTCCCCGGCCAAGTCGTCCGGTGGCACCGACGTGCTCAAGCTACAGAAGACTGTCAAGGACCTTCAAGGGAAAAACGATAGTGAGTCTTTCTTTTCACCCCCCCCCCCCCACAGTCCTTCTGTTTCTTAGTCGCGTCGAACTATGATGTAAGAGGCAAAGACGTGACAAGCTTCGGCTTCGACAATGTTTGTATACGTAAAAAAAAAAATGAGAGCTTGACTTGTAAAATATTATTTTCTTTGAAGCACTGACCGAGGAGCGCGCGAGTCTTGCAGCTAAAATAAAGAGCCTGGAACGCGAGCTGAACTTGAAGACGCACAAGAGCGAGCGCGAGCGCGCCGCGGAGGAGTTGCGCTCGAAGCTCAAGGCCGCGGAGGCGCTCTGCGAGAGCCTCATGGACGAGAACGAGGACATGAAGAAGGAGATCAGGGAACTCGAGGAGGAAATCTACGAGATGCAGGACAACTTCAGGTGTGTTTTGTTTTTATCAAGTTTTGGCCAACGGGCACCTTTGGTGCAATGTATCTATTATTTTTAACAATAGCGCCGATATACCGGCTGATTTGCCACGATGATTATGCAATAATTCATGTGATGTTTTACGAGTATCGTTACTCTCCGTGCACGTAAACATCTAAGCTACCAGATCATAAATTATTATTGTATATAGCGACGGGCAATAAAACGCTTTTTTTTTCTTATGGTAAAAGAGAAGAGCAGGCCGACGAGTACACGAAACTGAAGAAGAACCTCGAACAATCGAACAAAAATTGCCGGGTACTGTTGTTTAAGCTCAAGAGGATCGAGCGCAAGGCCGAGTTGCTGGAGGCCGACAAGACTGATTTAGAAAAGAAGTACGAGCAGGTGCGTGTGGGATTGATATTTTGGTTGTGTCTTTTTGTTTGTACGAATCTCTAATTATTTCTTCTATCGGCAAAAATTTAGATCAAAAGGATAGAGGACGTGCTGAAGAAGGTTGGGACCGAGTACAAAAATCGAACAAACAAAAAACCAACGGAGTACGCGCAGAAGATGCAAATCAAAAAGTTGGCCGACAGTATGGAAAAGGATGTGGGTAAGAGACATTTTTAGAGATACGATTAAGATAAGCTAAGAAATTTTGTTTGATGCACTATAATAACATTTTCAATATATTAACAGGAGAAATAATCAACGTGATGGTAAACATGCTTGACAATCGCGATCTTGGATTGCCGAATACAAGTTTCAAGTACGACAAATTGGCCAAGGAGCACGAGCTATTGAAAGAAAAGCTCGACAAGACGGAAAAAGAATTGACGAAGGAAAAAGAGGCCAAAAAGAACAAGACTACTGGAACGGCTGTAGTAAACGGGGATAGCTCGAAAAACGAGGATTTGGTCAATTGTGAGTGTTGAATGAGATTTTTTTTTATGTAATGTATAAAAATAAGGGACTAATTTTTAATTGAGCCCGATTTTTCGATGCTCTGGTTGCTTCGAGGCTGTGGTCAAAAGACGGTGATTTCAATTAAATTTACGAAAACGTTTGTAGTTTATTAGAGATACTTGTTTTGAAAACACTATTTAGCGAAGATAAATGAAAAATAAGCTGGTCTTATTTAATACTTATCATTTATTATTGATTTTAAAACAATGAAAATGAAATCTTTCATTAATAAAAAATAACCTTTTAAGCACGTTTCACACGACTAACAAAGCATTAGAGAGATCATCAGTTTTTCATTAGATTCATTTTAGTGTACATAAACAGTTTTTATGAAAAATTTGTCTGGTGTCTTGAAAACATTTTTTTTTTTTCTTTTTTTCTTTTTTTCTTTAGATTGTGGGGATTTAACAGAAAATTGTTTATATAATTCCTCATGCACACAAAAATGATCGTTGGTAATAAAAAACAAAATGAATGTTTGCACTCGTCTCCGTTTGTATTGATAAAAAAAATGAATTATAAATTTCATACTGGCTCTGAGAGTATATAATTCATGCAATGATAATTGCTTACTTCAGTAAAGAAGAAATTGGAAGAAAGCCAGGCATCGCTCGAAACCGAGCGCAAGTCTTGGGATTCTGAGAAGTTAAAGTTTCAGGAGGAAAAAGAAAAGCTCAAGTCGAAATTACTCTCACTGTCGGCAGATAAGCTCAAGGTCTATAACGAGGTCGTACAGCTCAAAAAGGATCTCGGTAAATTGTCACAACCCTTTTAAGTACCTTATCCGAAATTTGTGCTCTCTTCTTTCTCGGAGAGATCCCATTTCTAAATTGGATCGTAAAATACTTCGAATTGCAACGCTATGATATTGTTATCTCTGTTTTAATGGAATAATTTTTGTTTGCTTTTTGTCAGAAATAAAATTGAAAAAATTTTTTTAAATATTTTCGATTTCTTGTACGTGTGTAAATGTTTCAAACACAGAGGCAGCAACGTCGACGAAGAAGGATACAGCCAAGATTGAGACGGACCTGACGGATCTGAAGAAGGAACTTGCCCAAGAAAAGGAGCGATGCAAAAAACTACAAGAGGACCTGAAATCTGTTGGCGACAAGGAGACGAAACTCGCAAGGACACTAACTACGGTGAGTAACGTATTATGCAGCTGTTAGAGTTGTCATTTATCGTAGCTTTGCAATGGACACAAAATGAAATATTTTACGTACACGTAATTAATATCTGTGCTATTTTCTTTGAACTGAAAGTACATATTTTCCAAAAACGTGAATTTTCTTTAGTGTTTTTAAATTCTATTCTTATTTATGTGTTTACAGTAATATCGGCGAAAAAAGTTAAATTTTATTCAAGTGATGCATTTTTTTTCTTATAAAAAAGTCTAGCCAGTTAAGGAAAGTAAAAATGCTCCAAAGAACTTTACTTTAAGTTTGCGGATCAGAAGATACTATGTAAAGATGTTCATGTGCTTAATTTTAGGTCTCTACACTACTCTCAGTAAATTTTTGTTAGTAAAAGGTTTGGTAAAAATATCTTTTACAGTTTTTTTTTTTTTTCTTTAAATTTTTTTTAATTTTTTTGACTAAAT